TTTGACCTATAATAGGTACCTATGATAAATTATCATAAATTCCAAATTAATCATATCCATTAGGTACTTATAAGTTATACTGCGTTATACATCAACAAAAACCGTGATACTATCATAGATATATAATAGTACACTTTAGAAGTTTCAAGTACCCACGAATAATATTATTCAATCACAACAAAATAACTAAAATAGGTATTCTAGGTTTTTTAATATGTAATTTCGTCCAAATTTGAATTTAAAATGTCTGTAAAAAATAACTGTGTTAATATATTTTTTAGATTTTTTGGTTACAGTATGAACTATTTATGAGAACCTTTGTTTTAAATTTGCAATCCTTAGCTATAAAAACTGAACATTTTATAATTTATTAATTACAATGATTGATCATTTTCATGATTTTGATAAATTTTATCAAATATCGATCTTTAAATGCTTATAAAAAAAAACTGTGCCTATGTATTTTCAATATTTTTCAACTGATATTGTGATAATATATCAGGAGCCTTGTATTAAATTTTTACACTTTTTGGCCCAATAGATAAAACTTAATTGATATTTTTAGAAAAAAAAACTAAAAACAAATGGAAAATGAAAATGTCCGTAAACAGCTCAAAAAAAGTCGAAATATTTTCAAATGCTAATCTGAACATTCAGTGAAATTTTCATGTATCTAAAGTTATTCGTTTTTGAATTACAACAAAATAAGAAAATCGCTACATGAGAAATCAAATGAATATCCAATGTTGTAAAAATTTGAATTTCAAACGCTCATAAAAATTTAATTTGACTTTCCGGTAGAGATTTTTTTACTGATAAAGGTAGACAATCTTTGAGTAACTTTGTATTAGATTTTCAAATCTTAGATTTAAAAAGAAAAATTTTTACGAATTCTTAACTCAAAATAATTTGCTAATTTTCGTGATTTTTCCATATTTTGTCAATTTTTGAACTTTAAATGCTTATAAAAAATAAATCAAATTATTTTGAAAAAGTTATAGTGAATATAAAATGCAAATATAAACAACCAGTGAAAATTTCATATATATGTTTTAGAGTTACATTAAAAACCAAAATCGATTTTTTGGAAAACTGATTTTGCGTAAAAATTCCCGTTTTTCCTTAATTTTTCTTTTGTTTTCTTGGCGCTTTTGAAAAGTACTGTGAATTTTAAAATTTGACCTCCTCAATGCACCAACGATATTCACTTTCAAATCGAACAAGATACTGAAGTCGAAAATCGAAGCATTATTTCGACTACTTATCGTGTACACAGACACAAAAAATAAAAAAATCACACATCATTGTAAAATCAATACATTCATCGTTCCACTCAGAATCTAAAAAGTAGTAACTGGTTACAAGTGGATCACTGTAATGAATGGTGTTAATTTGAATTCATTGATATATTATAAATATTTTATTTTTTTTTAATGTAGGAAAACTTAAGGGGAATCTTGTTTACATTTTCAAAGCTTAGATATAAATAGAAAATTTCTTATGAATTACTAAATCGAAATAATTTGTCAATGTTCGTGATTTTGATGAATTTTGTCCAAATTTTAACATCAGATGCTCATAAAAAATTATTATAGATTTACGCTTAACGATTTTTTTTAATTTCCACTAACATCAACTTATGAGAAACCTTAACTACAAAAAATGAATTATAAATCCAACGGTTTCTTTTTTTTGCATCTATATACTCATAGGTGCAAATATGGGAGGGGGCTGGGAGGGGGAGCTTAGCCCCCCAAAACTAATAATTTTACTAAAATAATTTAAAAGCACAAGGGCGCCGCAATGGGATTTGCACAACCCCTGGCTTTTCAGAAAAAAAAAAAATTTAATGGTATTGAAAATATTTTTGCATAATTATCTATTAAAATACTTATATTTTATCCATTATAAATTATATCTAACACTATTTTTTTTAAATAATAACTTTAAAGTTTAAACGCCTAGGTTTTTTTTCCAAATTCTTCAATTTTACAACGTAACTCTTAAGAACTAAAATAATATACGACGTATTCGGTATTAAGCACCTAGCACGCTGAGAAATACACACACGACACACGACTAATATAATGATTCAGATCAGGGCTTAAATATTATACAAGGTTATTTCACATAGCCCCATATTGTTATCAAACAAAAATAAAATGGCAGCTTAAGGGTACGGTCCATTCATGTATATTAAAATATCATAGCATAGCCAATACCTATACGTCACGTCCCCTTACGCTGCCGTTTTAATTCCTTAACGTGATAAAATGATATGGGGGGGGGGGTACTGCTGCGAAAACTTTGTATATTTAAACCATGATTCGGATTATATTATATTATATCGTATGGTGTCAATGCAAAGGAAGTGTCATTTGTCACAAGTATATTCAATGGTATATAAATCGGTCACTTTTATGGCATGCGATAAGCTTACGAGTTGTCGATCAGTATCGGATTTTCTAATCGTAGCCAATAGCCCGTATTACTTTGTACCTATACCTATCTGACGAATTAAACAAAAGTAACTTTGTATAGTCATATAATTTTAAAAGATATTTCCACGTATTTAACTAAAATAATTTAAACATTACCTGTTTAAAAATCGGCATACTATGCACCCCCCTGATAAAATTCCTGCCGGCGCCTATGTAAAAGCATCATAAGTGTGGGTATCAAGTATAGACCTGAGCTACAGCCCCCCTCCCAAATTGCAAACCCTATCACCTATCACCTATACATATACTTAATTTACAAAACCAATAACCATAGATATTTTACATTTTTACGAAATGTTTATACTTCATTTTATAATTTTATACCTGTGAAAAAACTTTTAAAATATTTTGACTCCTTTTGATTTATTTATTGATATTTTAAATTATTAATTAAAAAAAAAATGTTTCTATAGGTAAATATGTATTGATAAAATTAGTCAAAAAGCCTAAACATTTATTGCAAGGTTCCTCATAAATTGTATTAATAGCAATTAAAAAATATTAAAGATACAAAGGTATGATTTTTTATTATAACTTTTAGCATTCAAAGTTTTATTTTTATTTTTTTTTAATTGAGCTTGAGCCCGGCAACTTAGGCCATTAGCTGTTTTGTTTGTTTTAGGTTGTAAGTAGGGGGAGGAGGTTTAAAACACGTTTTTGTATGTGTGGAAAGGATTCGTTTCTAAAAATCCCGGGTGGTCACCCATCCGGGAACTAGCAACGCCGACCGTTACGTACACTCCGCGCGTTTCCGCAGTTAAGTGCTCGCGCTACGCTAAGCCATATTTCAAAGTTAAAATATTTGACAAAAATCATGACAATTTACAAGTTATTTTGATGTTAAAAATGTATAAATGTTAATTTTATAGCTTAGGATTGATATTTTAAAACAACATTTGGACGAATTTAGATATTCACAAATAAAATAACGAATTCACATCAAACGATTTTCTAGATTCCTGTTTTTTCTCAATAATTGTTATGCTTTTTATTTCCCATTGATTTAAAAATTAAGTTCAGGGGATTTTTTTACTTTTGATCTCCTAGAAGTACCAACTAGACTCAATTTGGTATCTATTAAAGTAGAAAGCAGCCTCAAAGTTTAAGATTTTACTGTTAAAAATGGTAGAAACAGACACAAAAAAAAATCATTGCAAATTTAAAACATTCATTGCTTTGCTCCGCTTTGAAGAATCTAAGACAATAGGTAAATATACTAATTACTAACAAACATGCATTATGTGTACTCAAAAAAGTAGAACATGTTTCAGTTGTTTGACAATTCGACATAATATACGATATACCTATCTATTTGAATTGGTCGAATAGTGAATAAGTACTATATTATTATTATTATAATACTTTATTATTACCGATTAAGTATTGGTTACTAGGTACTTGACAGTTTCAAACATAAATAATTACTTTTGTACTGAGTACCTACCTACCTAATATTTGTTAATGATAATAATTAATATTTTTATATGTGCTGAGAATTGAGATAAATAATACTATAAAAATTAAAATCATATTATCTATTAAGTACCTACCTATATTCAATTATATTATAATGAAATATTGGAGCCCACCAGCCCATATACCTAGTTTATAGGTCTATGAACCAACCCAGCCAACTGAACTACAACTTGAACTACCTATAGCTATAGACAAGTATACTGGCCCAGCTGAATACAGGTCACCGGGAGGAAGGCGCGCTGTGAATAATTCAATGGAAATATGGAATCAATTCATATATTCTGTTTCTGTAATAATGTTATTATTATTTATTGCCATATAATACGGAGGAAATAGGTGATGTACAACTGGTGTCAAAATATGTATAATATTCATTGAACGGTAATTGATAGGTGATGACCTCCAAAAAAGCCTCCACCATACTTACGCACCGACACTTGGCAGTTGGCAGTAGGCATGCGTGATGCGTCCGTCACAGCTTGCTAGCTGCAGCTGTAGCGCTGATGTTGATTATTTCGCAGTACTACTACCAACACTCGTTATCTCTCGAGTTTTCCGTATTATAATTTGTATTGATATAACATAACCAAAAAATTACTGATCGTTCTTACTTCTTGATCGCCGATCGGCATTCGGCGTAGCCTTGAATTGTTAAGTAAGTTAATTCTCAAATTCATATTATTTAATTAATTATTAACTTAACTGTGATATACTCTTAAAACTTATCAACATTTTCATTAGTTCTGTACAAGTTGACTTGTTGGTACATTTAGTTTACATAGCTGCATGTTTTACCATTGTTGAACAAAATCTTCAATTATTTAGAGAACTTGGTGTGGGATTGATTGTCACAACTTACGCGTCAAACACGGATACAGAAATTAACATAATCACTGAGCTGAGTTGCTGTCTTATCACATTAAATTGTTAACTTCGACACTGTGCAGTTTTCTACTGAGGAGAATACAGTAAATACCTACGACCCCATCAACCTAACCTTCATTCTTGAAGAATCAAATATTTATGAACAGTTATTTACCACCTTCAGAAAAGAAAATGTTCAGTTTAGAGGGCGACGATAAAGGTATTTAGTTTGATATTTTTTAAATATATGATAATACTAGTTTCGTTGTCCTTTAAATGTGTTATATTATTACAATAATCTTCTATGATTTTTCATCAATTAAACACTTCCATCAATAATAACTGTTTAAGTTTATAATAATTACACAGGTTGACTAAGACATATGTATATACCAATATATACCCAATTATATATATGTAATTTTTTCTTTGACCTACCAACGTGTTGTGTTTCATTGAAATTCTAATGATACTTTATAGTTTTTACTGTCATTATGTGTTGATTTGTTGTATTTGACTGTCAATTTTATGTATTCTTACTCTACATATAGGTACAACAGATATCTCAGTTTTTATGGACCTATAATAGAGCTGACCTAATATCAAATGAAAAAAAATAACATTCTTATCTATACCAATCAACACCAAGAAAAATGTGTTGGTCCTACTATTAAAAATACTTTTTCTAGCTTGTGTATAATATAAAAAAACAAATCAATTGTGGTATGCTATTAAAGATAAATAATTCGTACCTACCTATATTTATTTATGTTAGCTATGTTGATTACATTTAAAACTGTACCACCTAATTTAATTTAATTTACGTTGTCACGTATTCAATTCACTCTTGTCCGGCCCATCAATACACCAGCATAACAGCCGTCCAACCAACATCCAGTCCTCCAGATTCAAAAACGAATTCATAACATTAAACCATTTAATCTCTCTACTGACCGTAATTTTAAACAAATTTTTATTAACACATTCACTACGGGTCGGCGTTGGTAGTAGGGCCTGTCAGGCTGGCGCTGACCCGTGATTTTCACTAGTACATATTGATAATTCGCTTAAAAATAATTCACCTATAGGGGCACCTCTATATTATTTATCATAGCCATACAAATAGCCAATTATTTGCAGTTGATTTCTGTTTCCTGCTTCTTTTTATTTACTTTTATTGCTTTTATTATCTCGCGTATTTTATCAGTAGATACGCTGCTTGTGACACCAGAATAGAAATATACACGTGGCGGTCAACGTGTTAACAAACCTCATTAAAATTATCTATATTTAATTCCCCTGCTAAATTGTATAATATCTGAAACCGTAATCCCGATCATTTTGTATACATTAGATCATATCAATATCACTAATAACAATTATATTGTATGCTATATTATAATATTAAATGTTAATATTGTTGTTATAAAACTTATAAGAGCATTAATATGCTGATACATTTTAAATATAATATACAAAAAAATAAATATGTATTTCGTACAATAATATAAATAATATAAAATTATTAATTCACCATATTTTTTATTACTTTTGGATTAGCCAATAGAGGAATGTTAACCAGTTTTCCATCAGTTCCATCTCCATATTTAAACTATGACCCTCAACTTCTACCTCAGTCATCTCAGCCAGAATATATATTTCTGGAAGGAGCTGGTTCCAAGCAACGTGGGCGTTTTGAATTGTCATTTACAGAAATTGGTACATCGTGTTTGATTGGTGCTACAATTGGTGGCATACGTGGAATATACAGTGGTATAAAAATGACATCTATGGAAAATCAAACTAGTACATACAATAGAACACAGTAATATTTATTAATGTTATTTTTTATTGATTTACTTTAGAAAGTACCTAATATTGTTATATTCATTTGCAGGATCTTAAATAGTGTTTTTAAAAATGGAGCCCGTTTGTCTAATACATTTGGAACATTATCTGTATACTATAGTATCTTCGGTATCATATTAGAAAAAACCCGGGGATGTGAAGATGAGCTTAATACAATCGTAGCAGGAACAAGCACTGGACTTTTATACAAAGCTACAAGTTAGTATTTATATAAATACTAGCTGATCCCGTGCACTTTGTTGCCCGTTAAATGTGCCAACTCTATATGACTCAAACTTTGTTAAATTTTTTATTTAATATTGGGTGTATGGTTTTCCAAATTTAACTTAACTTTTCTGTTGCCCGGAATAAAAATTCTGATTCACAGCCTTAAATTATCAGGTAGGCAATCTTGTGCTGTTTGTACCTTAGTCTATGATTTAACTCTAAAGTATCAAAGTTATACCAAGTTTGATATAATACAGTGGATAATATAATCAATTAATACATAATTCTAACCTAACCTAACCGTACTGAAATCTGATAAATAAAAAAACCAAACTTAATCCTTTTTAAACTATCTTCTTGCCAAATGTCTAATCTGCACACAAACATTTATTTATATAAATATTGACCAAAAAAAATAATACAAATCAACAAACAAGCCCGATTAACCAATAGCAATCAATATATAATCCACTATTAAATAACATGCAACAAATAAACTAAATTTTTATTTTATTATTTAGTTAATTTTTTTCTGGACTGATGTTGCCACTTGTATTTTTGACATCCAGATTTCCTACTTTTCAGTGGATTTTCATAACATTATCTTACATAGAAACCTTCTCCATGATATACTCTTTCGCTTAAAAAAAAAAAAATCAAGAAGATCTGATAAGTATTTCCAAAGTTTACCCTGTACAAAGATTTTCGTTTCATTTTTATATAGGTAGTTAGAGTTTAATTGAGAATTTTCAACAATACTTTTTATTGAAAAAATAAACTTTATTTTTGAATTAATCAAACACTAAAGGTATACCACACAAGTTTTCTCAGTGAAAAGTACGAAAAGATATTCATTATAAATAAAAAAAATTTTCTGCTCAGAATCTAAACTATATAAATTAGAAAGTGAAAATAATAATAAACTAATTATATTTTATATTCTTTGATTAAAACATACATTCAGTTTTAATATTTTTAATTGTTACTGTTTCTTATAAATTTTGTATTTTAAAGTAGAGATGGAAAATAATTTTACAAAGTGAATCCATGCTTCATAACTTTTGATTATAAATCAGTTATGACTTTTTCAATAAAAGATAAACAATTATAGCACAATTGTTATTTTTACTTGGAATAATCTTTATTTTTACTATCATTATATTTTACTATATATTTCATATTTATTAAACTTATATAATTATATAATAATATTTCAGGTGGGCTTAGAAGGTGTGGTATTGGTGGTTTAATTGGATTCAGTCTTGCTACAGCATTCAGTCTGATTACATCAAGAGATAAAATCAAAGAAATGGGCAAAAACGTATTTCATTCCTAAAAATGTTTACCAAAATAAAATGTTTGCAAAAATAAATGTTCATAATAGTTTTTTAGATACACAGTTTTATGTCTTTTGATTGATAAAAACTATATTAACTTGTTTGGAGTCCAGACCTGTTAAAATTTATTGAGTTATAACTTTAAAAAAAAAAACAATTTTTATGTGTATAAAATGATATTTGAATAACAAATTTTTAAGTTTGTAAATTGAATTAATTTTCAATAGAACTTCTGTCATAGTTTTGATTAAAACAATTTATTAAATCATCTAGTTTAAAATAATAGTTAACAAAAATAAATTAGTCTTTATTTTGAAAAGTATAAAATATAATTCATATACATTATTCTATTGTAAAATTATCAGTTAAAGGGATATTCTAACCTTATGTTTATTTGATTAATTGATTTGCTATTCATCTAGTGTTAATTTTAGTGACTGATGTAATTGTTATTTGTATATATTTTATTTGGCAAGATTAGAAAAAAAAACTAGATATTTTGTTTGTAGTTTTATTAATATAAATCATTGTAGTGATCAGTTGGAAATAGTATCTAATATAGCCAATATCTATTTAAAATGAGCTTGAAATGACTCAATGAATATTGGAGCTCATAAACTTAATATAATTAATTATGTTTGATAATAAATCTATAGATTTAATATTTTCATTTTTAATCTTAATCTTAATGGCTATTTTACAATTCAATTCTTTAATTTTTTGAGTGCAACATTGTACTTTATATTTTATACTTATATACACTATAGTAAATTTAATTATTATTAAATTAAAATTCTATAATACACGTAAAATTGTTTTTGCCTTGTTACCTAATGGAAGTAGTTCACCAAATAGTTATCTTGTGAAAAAAAAGAAATAATATTAGGATGACTAGTTATTATTTTAATTTTCTGTAAGTACACAAATGTAGTATTTGTTGTGTCATGTGTGATCGACCATGAACATTATGAATTAGATATGATTGATTTAAAGTCATATTACCTAATATTATATTATTGACTACCAAATATGTGTGTTCATTTATTATTTTTACTTAAATTTTTTAATAAAATACATTATTAGGTACTATGTTGATATTTATATCATATAAATATGTATAGACTTATTTGAACATTTCTAGTACATATTCAAATGTCAATAACATATTTATATATAGATAACCTTTTTTTCGAGCAGTAAAAAATATGTACATACTCTTTTATATATATATAAGTCATTAATGAAACCTCATTAAAAATGAAGATGTCTAATGCATTTACACAACTGTTAGGACATATTGGATATAATTAAATTGTACATTACAGTAGTTGGTTCCTAGTAGGTCAAATTAACATATTTATAATTTTTATATCCCCATAAAATTATATCTAAATAATGCAGACTTCTAATGAGTGTAAGGTTTTTTTTTTTAAATAAAATAAATATATTATACCAAAAGTACTTAATACCTGTAATAATTTATTGTTTTTATGCTATTAATAGCCCACACTTCACGTTAGTGTTGTTAACTTTATGTTATAGGTACCCTATTCTTCATCCCAGCTCAATCAATATTTCCAGTTATGATTAGGTTACTGTATACTAAGCTAATCTGTGGTATATTGACTAATAAAGGATTCATTTTTAGTTTTTAAAAACTGTTTGATACAGTAAATTATGATTCTAAAAAGTAAAATCCAATTAAAGTATTAATCTTAAATCTTAATACATTAATACACTGTAAATTATACATAAATGTGTATCTTAATAACAATTCCAATCTATTTGGTATAGATTTATTACGTTTACACAGGTAGCCAGGTAGGTATATTTACAATTTTTTTTACCAATTGAGGGCTGTTTAGTTGAATGACTAGTAAATGGTATATGACTTTTCTCAAATCAATTATTTGTTAGAAAAACTGGTGATATAGGTAATACTTGTGTGACCATAATTTTCCTGTCCAAAAGGGACACGTTTTCTTAAAGTTATTAAGAATAACTGATACTTATTATTTATTGGATAAAATTATCCAAGACATTTACTACTTAATTATTTCATTAATTAGTTTTACTTTTATATAAAATTAATATATTTTTTAAATAATAACATACGTTTTGAATAGGTACTACTTTTTATAAATCTTAGTAGATATGCATAAATATTTATAATATAATTATATTAGTTAGTGATTGAATTATGATAATAGTCAGCGGTCACTACCTAAATGGTGAACATTTTATAGCTACAATTTGTCTATAACCATTAACCATAGACTCAGGACCGTATATAGTTAACAATTTATCTTCATAAAAATTGAAGTATTGAATTTTTGTAAATGAAGGCCAAAAGGGGACGCAGATTTCAAAAGCGATATAAATATATAATGCCCCCAAATGTGGGATGTCTGGTCTTAGTACGCATGACCCAGTAATCCGATTAATTTTGTATGGGGCGGTTAATTTTGTATTGTACATAAGTATTATTAATAGTATTAAAGTATTCAAACACCATAATATAAATGATGATAGAAAGTGTCGAAATCAGTCGGTGACCACCGACCGGGTGGCCACCATACAGTCTACAAACACATAATAAATTATGTAATATTATTTTTTACCTAGCTAGACGGCTAGTAGGTTGGTGAAGTAAAAAAAATGTTTAGTTTAAATATTTTAATTGCTTCTTAATTTTTAAAAAAGTAGTAAGTGCTAAATAGCAAATAGCATGACAAAGTATATAGGTGTGTCACTAGACAGTAGACACTGTCTAACGTAGTAATCTCGGCAAAATTGTGATATGCATATCCCCCCCACTTAACACTTTTTACTGTGTTACGTTCTCATAATCCGCTTCAAAAAATGAAGATCGGAGAACCCAACACATAGGAAAGAGTAAAGACTCGCAACAATATTCAAATACGTATTGTTGTCGAATTACTTCTATATTTTGTCATGACTATCAACGCAATGAGTCATAAGCAATTAAATTAAATTTGTCATGATAAAAATTCAGTAGTTCAGAACACAGATTTCTATATAGTATTATAGCGCAGTTTAGAAGTCTGTGAAAGACGCTGAAAGCCAGCAAGACTACAAATTGGTAATTACAGAGGGGACGAGCTTAGCCCGGCTGAACTCGGAGCCGCCCCCTTCGATGCTCAACTGGTATACAGAGTGAAATTTTCCCTATCGTTGTCAACAAATATGAGATTTTATTATTTTTTTACTTCAAAGAATTTTAAGAGTATATTATTATTGTGTCCTTAAAAATTAAAAACTAAATGTAGATAAATTAATAGGACATTTTTGGAATTGTCAATCGTCTAATATCTGGAAAAGAATTATACCTTGTTCCGTGATTAACAACAAGAAAATCACTCTGTATAGAACGTTTGTTTGTACGATATGATAAGTTGAAATTCTGGGACCGTTTTTATCTACGTTGATAAGAACATACAACACTGAACACAATAATCTGTTGTAATTCTTTGATTTTGTATGCGCCTTAAGCGTCTATAATGTTAAATAAACCAAATTCTTGATTATTTGTGTTTGTGTTTGATTTGCTTATTAATGTGTGTATCTTGAGGTAGTAAGGATTTTCGTAATTTAGTGACTGTAGTTCAATATTGGTTTTTATCCAAATTCAATCATATTTGTGAATACTGTGAGATTTAAAAATGGCAGCTCAAATCAAACCTGGGCCAAGCTCAAGCAACGATAAATTCAATTCAAACCGCAAGCCTGTATTACTGGCTAAACTTGAAGGATGCAGTGACAATGTAAACAAGGCCATCATTATTCCTGAAACCGATGGTGTCATTAGTGTTTCAAGCGATCGGTAATATTATTTTAAATTAAGTTTGGTTAAGATTTTATTTGATAGTACATTAAATATTATATCTACTTATGAATAAGTGGTTCACTAAAGAGTATCAAGATTTTCAAGATAAATTTAATACGTATTGGCACATAGTCGTTACATACCGATTCATATCTAAGTCAGAGTCTGATACCAGTTCCGCCGGTATACCGCACATGTAACTTCTTGAACAATCCATATTGAAATGATATTTATCGATACACTTTAATTTATTCCTTAAAAATCTTGCATGTATACCTAGATGAATATAGGAATTACACACACGTCTTAAAATAAAAACTAACTACCTGTAGAATATATATAACAATAACGTTATCATCGGTTCATAATTTACTAACATTTGTTCTGTTACCTACAGTAAACATAGTAGGATATATATTTTTTTTTTCAAAAGAATGAAGATTTTTACTGAATAAAAATATTTCAAATTCATTAATTAAAACCACATGGGTATTTAAATTAATATTATTTGTAAATTCACTTTGTTCTATTTTTTTTTTGTTTTGTTATGTATGTGGATGCTATAGATAAGTAAATACTAAAAATTATATCATATACCTAGCTGTTTTTGGATATTTATAATTGTAGCGACTAGAGTTGATTGAAATAATTAAAATAAATGTATAGAAATTTAAAAATTTGTTGTAAGTGTAAGGGTGGAGCCTGGATCAATTAAAAAAAAATCAAGCATTAAAAATTTTTATTTTTATTATTTTTATTTTGTACCCATATGAAACATTATAGAAATAATGTAATAATTTACATCAAATTCCTAGAAGTCAACATTTTTTATTGTTTCTCAAATTCCCAAATGCATATATACCTATAATATAAAGCGGTAAATTAATATTACGGAGTCGGACACCATTATTTGGATTATATCCAACACACCAGTAAGACCTATGGACATAATAGTAATATCAAAATATTCAACTTTAAACTTGATACTATAATATTGTTCTTAAGAAATTGATTCTTTCTAATACTTGGCTACTGGTTAACAAAAGTAATACAAAGATATGGCGATAAGATTAGTCAGATGATTTAGCTTAAATTAATATGCTCTACTAATACTATTCTGGGAATTAAAAATGTGTACCTAATAATATAGAAAAATAACCTGTTACTCTTATTTTTATTATTATTTTTTTTTTTTAAAGAATTTTTAAATTTTTTAAAAGTTTATCAACAAATAAGTCACACATTATACAATATGGCACATTTTTATTTAACTAAACCAATCTTGTGTGGTTAGCTTTAATATTAGAGTGAATTAATCTAATAAAGATTTCCTCAAAACTCTTTTTAACATAATAGAATCAGGAAAATTACCATGTTTTTTGCTTATTGCATACACTTTTCTTCTTTGCTCCAAACTATTTGGGGTCAGCCACCCTTTTTCTACACTTCCATGGCTCTGTCTCCTACCTCTTCTTTATGCATATCGGGTATTTTCGTGTCATTTCTATACTGTTAATCTATTCTCTTCTTCAGCCATAATCTCCCTCTATTTCCTTTTAGAAACATTTCCATCTTTGCTTCCTATAAAGATTTGTGAATTAATTAAAAAAGAGAATTCATTATTTGGTATCAATTTTAATATTCATTTAAATTAATATAACAATATACCTATGTAAAAACAATATGTGTTAATATTTTTTCTAGAACTCAACATTTGGATTAAAAATATAAAATATAAATGCTTGATTATTATTTAATAACAATGTATTTATAAACTTTTTTTTAAAATTAACATTGAATTATCGTTTATATTAACATTAAGAATAATATTATTAATAAAATAAAAATATACAGTAGGTACCTTTTAGAAAGGTAATTTATAGATATTTACATATGATTTTCAAATAAAAATGTTCTTTATGTCTATCAATTAAATTATTTTTGACATTTTCAGATCTGTTAGAGTATGGCTAAAAAGAGATTCAGGTCAATATTGGCCAAGTATATGCAATTACTTGCCTTCTCCTGCTGTTGATTTATTTTATCGACCAATATCTAGACAATTATTTGTTGGACAAGAAAATGGAACCATATCAGTAAGTTTAACACTATATTTTTTATAATAGTTTATTTTAAAACACTTACATTTTTTTATTGTTTCAAATACTTAGATAAAATAATTATTGTCATAAATTATTTTTTAGGTATTAAATGTAATATTTTTTGTCTTTCTATTTATGTACCTATTACACATTTGTTGAGTTCATTTGTTTATTTTTAAATTATTATTAAAGGAGATATTTCATTTGGTTAGGAATATATTTTAGAAGAGGATTTCAATCGTATGGAGCCCATAGGTGATATTTTAGCTCATTATGGTCGTATAACTGGAATGATCTGGACTGAGGTGTCCATAGATGGTACGGTGGAACAATGGATTTTAAGTACATCTCGCGATAAAAGATTTCAATATCATAATGCTAAAAATGGCAATCCAATTGGTCCTCCTTTTGTGTGTGCTGCGTGGTGTACATCTCTGGAGTATCCTTTGAATTAAAATTTACCATGTTCAATAAGCGTTTAGTAGCTATGTAAATAATTTAACTCTATTATTTTTTTTATGAACATAGTTATGTATAATAATTTAATAGTATATCATAATTAATACAATTTTGTTAAATCATGTTTATGTGTTAATAATATTATAATAATCTTAATAGCTATATTGTATATACTATATTATATAGAATATTAGTAAATTTGACTTACATTGCCTAAAATCAGATATGATGCTGAATCAGCTCATGCATTTGTTGGAGATTACTCTGGAAATATTACAATGCTGAACATAAAAGCTGATGGGTTACAAGTTGTAACCACATTGACTGGTCATACTGCATGTATTGAGATGCTCACTTGGGATTCATCTACAAGGCGTTTGTTCTCAGCTGGACATGATCGTTTGATTATAATTTGGGATATCGGTGGAGGTCATGGCACAGCTTATGAACTTCATGGTCATACGTATGCATTTTTAATATTGAAATACAATTTTAAGTTATATTATCATTACTCATAATGTATAATAACTAATGATTGTGTTTAATAAAATAATTACAAGAAAATTTAAAAAAACTACTCAACTTTTTATTTTTAGTAATCGAGTAACATCCTTGGCATTTGTATCACCTAAAAATCAATTAATATCTGCAGGTGAAGATTCTGTCTTAGTATTTTGGGATTTAAATGCAGAAAGAAAAGAAGTAAGTTTCTAAAGTAAATTTTGAATAGTGTTCATAAATAAAATATATATTTTATAATATTTATTTATATACCTACTATGAAATTGTTATTCTACTACGTAATATCATTCTAATTATTTCGCCATCACAAGTGTAGTGTTTTGGTTTTTTTTTTAAATTGAATAGTGTTGGGTATGTTAATTTTAAAAAGTAATGAAGTTACTTTATTCATTACTCTAGTAAAACTATAATGAAATTTCTTTATTTTTCAATCTAAAAAGTAGTAACTACATTACTTCCATGTTTCAAAAAAAAAAACCATTCATATTATGTATTTCTTTAATTTCTTTTAAAAATTGTCATTTGATAAGAAACTAAAAGTAGAAATACTATATAGGTATAATTTATAAAACATATTCTAAAAAAAATTTATAAATAATAAACAGTTGACAATTTTAAACATATTATAACATACAACAAAAATTATTAATATTTAACTATAAAATGAATTTGTGTTAAAATATAATTTTTTTAAATAACTTTTCTAGTAATTTACATGGTTCAAACCAATGAAAACTTAATAATGACAATTTAAAATTACATATATATTCATATTTATTTTTATATCCAATATGTATATTTATTATTATTATTATTCCCAATACTCGAAACAAGAGGAAATGGGATTTAGGAATTTCTTATCTAAAGAAATGTCCATTTTATTTTTGTTACATGGAAACAATTCTAATGAAATTACATAATGCGTTACAAATAAAGTAACGTCATTACTTTTGTTACATTACCACCTAACACTGGAATTGATAAGCCTCATCATTTAAGTTCAAACACTAAAGATAACAAATAATTTTTTAGTATTTAATCATTAATTTAGTTTGGACTAAATTATATTAATTTTGCATACTATTATATATTAATATTATTAAATAATAATTTTTAAAGTTTTTATTATGTTTTTTTTTCTATTCATTTAATTATTATTACATTTTAAATTCTTATGTAGACACCTCCTTGGGCTGAATCAGATAACTGCGAATCTTGTAGCCGACCATTTTTATGGAACATCACTGGAATATTTGAACGCAAACAATTTGGATCAAGACAACATCATTGTAGGGCATGTGGCCGTGCTCTTTGTGATAAATGTAGCCAAGAACAATCTACCATACCATCCATGGGATTTGAGCTTCCAGTAAGAGTCTGTAAATTCTGCAGCAGTAATATAGAGTAAGTTTGATTTTGATTTTTATAAAATATTTATTATAACAAATTTATTTATTTTTAGTCATACACCGCTTGCAACATTCCATGATACTAAGCATAGTGTAATGTCAATTACAATGGACTTACAACGAAAATGTGTCGTGACAGTAGGTCAAGACAGAGTTATAAAAATTTGGGATGTTTCAACACTAATATAAACTATCATATTTATATATTTAACCATTGAATTTTTGAAGGTTTTTTCTGTACCTAAACATAAAAAATGAGCCTATATCTATGCATTTATTACTATGAAAATAATTTAGTTTAAAATTTAAAAAAAATGAATCTAATCGATGATAATATAATTTGTTTACAATACATTATAAACACAAACACATACTCATAATATATATACATTATTGAAAATCTAAGATTTTAATCAACTAAATTGTACCTACTATTATTATACAGTATGTTAGGTATTTTATATTATTATAAGTAAAAAGTAAATTTAACTATACAAATTATTTAAAACCTGTTTTCCATTTATTACTACCTATTATTTACTTGGGTGTGGCAGCATAGTATTTAACTGACTAAACAGTCCTAACTTTAAAGTATTAGATTAGGTTGCATTCCACCATAAAGTATAAAACCTAGAGTATTTTTTTGCAAATAAGTGTATTGTATTTGAAAACATATCTGCATTTTGAACAAACCATTTGTTAATATATTTATCAAAAATATGATATTAATAATAAATTTGTTTAGTACATTATGAAATAACTAGTTTTTGTGTACATATACAATTTATGATTATAATTAATGTTTTTACTACTATAATTTTTTTACTCAACTAACTTTAGCTACAATTGTGTTAATAGACGTTTGTAGTTGACTGAGTTTTATATTGGTCTAATGAGTAATAACAGCCCAAACATTTTTACTGCAACTCATCTGAAACTGCTCACGCCTATGTAATAGAGACGTACAGTAAAATCTATTAAACTTGTAAAACAGACTGTAATCTTGAATGTTTTAAAAAATATTTGTACGATTTTCACAAATAAACTAATACTGTAGTATGTGGTCTCTTAACTGTTAAAGTGGCTATATAAATTTTTTTGAACAAAATATTTGTATGCTTTTTTTATTTAGAGTGTATTTAATTATGAAATTCAGTATTCTTATATATGTTTCACCAACACTACTGAAATGGCTTTTCTATACGTTATACTCTTATATTTTGTTAATTTATTTTAAATATATTTTTAACAATATTAAATTATCGGCTCTGAAAGCTAAGCTTGTTGTGAAGATAAGTTGTTAAGCTAAGCTTGTTGCTCACTATACACTTGACATATTAATTTATCATAATAATTTTTAAAGTAATCCATAATAAGTTAATGATAAGATTAATACAAATATTATTTGGTTAAGACTTGAGATATTAATAATTTATTTCTTTTCATTTTAATTTAGTAAACCAACTAAATATATTAGTTTATAATTGTATTGCCAATTTAATGCCAGCATTAAAAGAGTTATCCAAATTCTGTTCTATATTTCAGAATCAAAATTAATGTATTAGTTTGCTTATGTTTAGATATCTAGTACAATTATGTTTATACTAACTATTTGACGTATTCTGACAAAAAAAAAAAATTATACAAAATGTCTCTGCCATAATAACATACTGACATGCACTATGTACCTAGCTGTTTTACGTTTAATAGATAAAAATTCTTAATTAACAATCAACTCCTAATTCTGAAAAGTTTTTTTTTAAAGATAATTTAATGAATGAAGGTTTTCAATAAATTATATTGAGTGCGTCATATACACGGCTTCAAACTCCATTAACACGTGGTTACTGTACTCCTGTGCCATAGCTAAAAATTCCATTCACATTATTTTATGCTAGTATATATTAGTGTGGGATTTTAGTTTATAGCTTAATAATCTTATATTTTAAATTAACTATTAAAGATAAAGTTCTGAAAATCTTCACTGCACTTAACCTAACCAATGTGAATCTTTTTTTTTTTTTCATGTTAAATCACTACATGGGAGCCGAACTGTTTACACATTGCTTAGCTCCCAGTGCTCCCACGCAGCATAATTTATTAAATAAAACATTTTTACATCTTTGTTTTTTGGCTCGCATGTCTCTAACAACGAAATCTGCTCTCCGGTTTCGGAGATCTATCTCACTAAATGAAAATGAAAATGATATTTTGTGGGGCTGTTCGCACCGAAATTGTTCAGGATTCAAATTGTTATACCAATTGGGTGTGATACCAGTTAATAAATTTCTAAAAATTAAAAATCAAGTAAGTGCTTGCCGATCCCTGACTTGTCTAAGGCTCTCATATAATGGGTATGCTATGCTACCATTTTGCGACTCATTTATCAATGATAAAGTTATAAAATAAAGGGGGAAAAATTCATATTCACATAACAATATAACATTATTAGTCGCAAAATGGCGGAGTAGCATACCTAGCATCTTGGCAAGCGTTTTTTTTCAAGTTGTCGGAACTGTTTTTGTGTAGTTCCCGTGAAACTGATAGTAGCACAAAACAATCAAAGATGTTCTATACAATAAAAAGCAGTTACTACCACGGTTTTAGATATACCTAAGGTATATTTTAAACCTTGGTTACTACCGTCTTTGTGGGAACCATGACTTAGCAGAAACAGTGAAATCCTAGTGGGAATAACATTTTTTCCAAGAGTTATCCATGATATTAGTTTTTCTTCCAAGTCTGGGGAACTATAAAATATGGCGTATGCGTGCGTGCCTATCGATTAAAAAAAAAAAATTGTGGAAACAGACATACGACCTTCTTCGCGATTTATTATTTATTTAGGAGGAGGGGGGCAAAAACTACAAAACTTTCAGACTTTTTTCTATTTTTCACTTATATTTCTTAATATAATCATTATTTGTGTTCTATAGGGCTTAACAAAGTTGTAGAACATTAAATTGATAAAACTAATTTTTAAACAAAAAATTAACAGAGATACGGCTGATCAAAGTTAGCCAAGTTTTTCAAAATGTTAAAAATTAGCTGAAAACGAATTATTTGGTTCTCTAACTATTTCTAGATCCGCGACTGGTTGTACCTAACCTAGGTACTGGCTTGTAGAGTCATGTTACACTATTCCAAATAACATTTAAACGTAAAACGCTACATTTTTCATAACGTTTTATTGTTAATTACAGTACCTAAACGCATAAATTGAACAACGTTTGAACACATAAGCTGAATAAAGCTTAACTATTTAAAACGTTTAACACATACATTGCATAACGTTTAAATTCTTTATAACGTTAAACAGTCAATAGATCATAAAGTTTATTATTCAATACTCATGTACCGCCATGACGGCAAACGGTATTCTTTTTTTTTTATTTAAGCCCTTTCCCAAAGGAACATTTTTACCTTTTCACTTATCCCGATTGCGGCCCGTGCCTACATTGTAAGTAGGAAATACCTACTATTTATACAAATCAAAATTTAAATATTTATAAAATATGGAAATATCTAATTTTAATTTTGTAAAAATAATAATAATAAGTTTTAAAAATCTACCTCAAACACTATAATTTAACACCACAATTATTTTAATATTTGACTATTAATTTACATAATATTTATTTTATTTCATATCTTTTTTTATTGCAATAAAAAAAGATATACATGTAAGCAACTATTTTACTATTTTACTATTTATATGTATATACCTATTATTTATGATGAATTTAAATATTTAATGAAAATACATATTATATTATATTAGGTATATTATATTAATTATACGTTATTTTGTGAACTTATTTTATGTCTGTTTAAACGCAATCGGGATACCTACCTACTAATATTTGAGATAAATACGACTACCTGAATTCGGGCATCTCCGGTACAAACATGACATAATACAGCACAAAATGCATAACCTTGTATAGTTGTATCAATATAAATATATAGTAAATTATTCTGACAGACCGTCTCTGATCAGAATCGGTTTTTGCAGATAATACCTATGCATTAGTATCACCATTTATCGGCAAGGCCAGATTATAGGAATACGCTATAGCTCTCGGCTCTCCTAACAAAACTTTTAACTTAAAAGAACCCACAGGGTGCCTATATCTAAAAATTAAAATCAGTAAGGGATATTCGAGGGGGACAAATCGTAGTCGAGAGAGACTAAGGACCCAATAGCCAACCATATTTGTGCCACTGATTATATGGTCATAATAATATGAGGGGCTAAATATATTCTTGGTGAAGCCTTTTTTTTTTTTTATTACAGTGTTGTGTTGGTGATTTATATTCAATAATGTAAATTTAAAATACCTACCTATAACCTGTATAATATATTTGTATATTATAGTAGGTACCTACTCGTATATTGTAACAATCGACTATATATATATATATACTAATAATGTATTATCAATATAAACCGGTTTTGTTCTTAAATCTGGTGTCTTTTCTTTCGGAACATGGTATACTACATACTACATAGTAGGTAATGCAATATGATATAAGCATAGAAAATACGATACCTTAAAAAATAAAAAGTTACAAATAACATCGATATTCAATAATGACATAACTAATTAAATATCCTGAAAAACAAAATTGATAATAAAGATAAATTATAGAAGGTTGGAAGTTTGAACTTATATGCTGTAACCAGGATTATAAAGAACCTTTAGGTATAATCTTTTCTGTAACAGAGAAGCTGCAGAGCTGGCCCAAAAAATAATATTACTCTATGCGCAGCTTGCCTACTGTGATACTTTACGATGTTGATGTACTTTTAAAAAATTAAAAAATCTTCAGCAACTTTTAATATTCTTAAAATCGTATAGTAATGAAGTATAATAAAGAAGTATTAAAATAAAATTTACAGAATATTTATACCTACCTACCATTTACATTTATTTGACCAACAATTTATTTTTATTTATTATTTTATTTTGGAACAGACATTAATATTAGAGTACATATAACCAACTAAAACGTATAGCGAAAAATAGAAAAGTTACCTACCTACTGTATTTGAATGAACAATGATATTGTATGTACTATGTAGTATGTTGGTACATCACTTATACATGGCTACATTTTATCAAATACTATTTATACATCAAATATTCAAATCAAAATTTCCGGGGTTTTTTTTTTGCAAAAATCAC